TTTTGATTGTGAAGTGCTTCATCTTAAATATATTCACAGCCTCAGTTAAGACGTCCACGGCGAGCGTTTTGAGCAGTCGACTAACAACAGAACGGGAGCGAAGGCAAAATTAGTTTTGTGCGAGAAGAAAGAGCTGATGAAGGCCCCCCCCAGTGCTGAGAGTTCAGGGACGGGGTCGCTCTGTGGAGGTCTGACCATCTGCTTTTTAATTCAGTTTGAATGAATTTAATCTCGTTAAAACTAGAAACCTTTGAAAGAGCACCAGGGTATTAGCATTATGTGTCCGCAGTGTGTTAAAGGCCGAAATTTAATCAACAAATCACGGAAACGACTTCCTTCTTCATTTCTGTCACATCGAGTCATTACTACTCAATTATTCATGTTTCTCTTTCTATACCTAATAGGCTCTTTTTTTGGACACATTTTGTGAGTTCTTTGGGGGTTTTCTTTCTCTGTGAAGCTCCGCCGTTGTTCTGTCGGCTCTTCGGTCGTTTTCTAAAGCAGGACGAGGCTCTTTATCAGAGAGTGAAGCTCTGTGGACGTAAACTGTGTTCAGGTCTTAAATAATAATCTAAACTTTAACTCATTAACTCATTTAGTTTCCTTTACAGAAATGAATTAAATGTTCATATATCGGCCTACTGTGTATGTTTTTAAAGTTTTCTTACACCCCATAAAATCAAGAAGGCCTATGATGATATAAAAGCAGAAGCTGATTGACGAGGAGAGAGCGGAAAATTAGCATATCGTCATTTAACTAAAACATTTAAAAATTAAAAAAAACAGAAATATTTTGTTCATGTTTCTACATTTAAAAATCTTTCAAATTTTGCTTTTCTTTAATTTATGAATTAATTTCAACACTTTCTTCAACTATTGTGGTTTATTTACTGATATAAACTTTTAGCTTGGGTTGTAACGACTTTATGGATCATTTCAAGATCTTGAAGAAATGACATCACAAAGAGCAAAAAATACCAATGTGGGCTTCAGAGAGAGTTTAGAGGGTTAATGTCAGTTGACAGATATCACTGTGGGCTCTGGGAACTCTGGGACATTGGAACAGGCATGTTTAACTATTGTTAGACATTTTATAGATTAAACAAGTAATTGATGGATTGAAATAAACTTTAATCGAAGGATAAACCAACAGCCTGTTATTTTATATCCTCCTCAGACGACAGCAGACGTCTCTATTTGTCAGTCCATCCGACAGCGATCCTCCCTCACTTTACCCCCGGAGACGCTCTGTTGGCAGGATGGGAAGTAAAGTAACTGCCAGTCCTCGAGGATTGCCCATGCCCCCCCCCCCCCGTCAGTCCTTTTGTCAGGCCGCAGCGACCATGCTGTGATCCACAAATAGACTCAAAGTGCCTCCGTGCTGCACATGAAGGGAAGGGACAGATGGACCTGTGGTTGCCCTCGCCATAATGCCTGTCGACGTCCTCCAGAGGGTGGACCTTAACTTTCAGGATGTGGAGGTGATGGCGGGAGAGACCGATAGTAGGAAACAGCAAAGGATCGAGGAAGAACCTAAACTTGTGGCTGAGCTGTATTCGAGATTATCCCCAGATGGATGTTTTTAAAAGGTTACTTTGACAGTAGAGAGACGGGAGTGGCGGAGGAGCAAAGAGACCCGGGCGTACACGCTCTGCCAGACGAGCTACCGGGGAGCCAACCGGGGGATGTTTGACAGCCAGTAGAGAGAAGTAGAGTTGTTCTGATGTGATGCTGCCTCATCCGATACCACATCATTTATTAGCCCTTAAAATGGGACCCCGCTACTTCCCAGCATTGCTATCTCCCAGCATAGCAAAGTACAAAGAGTTCAACCTGAGCCAGAGCACACAGCAATGAGAGCAATCATACAGGGTTAGCAGTGTAATTAATAATATACAGTAAAATCATCATTTAATCTATATAACTATCCAATAATCTCCAGTTTAAACTGTGTTAATTGTCTTTAGTCACCGTAGAAATGTTAACGTTACATAAACTGAGACATTTACACAACACACAGCCCGTCAGTAACTATTATACAGCAACCTGACGATACGAACACTCACACACCGGGAAACAAACCGGCACACGTTACCCACAAGCCCCCCTTTCTTAAAGGGGAAGACACAGTGCAGGAAGGATCAGATCCTTTAATGAAGTAAAATATCTTCCACCACCAGAACAGTGCAACAGATCGACACCTTCTGGTTTCACTGTTGGGGAGCTGTTATGTTGCTGCACGCACACCCTGCAGCAAGATGGTCCTTCAGCCGGGACACGGAAACTCAGAGGGACTTCATTTGTAACCACAACACATATATGAAGACTGTAAGCAACAAGACTGAGAGTCTATAACCACACTAATGTGAGGCTGAACCGCTGACAGTGTATATAACAGACAGAGCTTAAACCTGCATTCTCAGTAACAGCCAGCAGGGGGCGCTCCACTGGTTGCAATAACACACTGATACCATTCAGTCTTATGGAGAAGTTGATTTATTCCCTCAGTTTCCTGATGAGTTTCTGGTCTCAGTCTCTAGTTTCAGTCTTCTTCCATACAGCATGATGTTCATTTAGTAACTGATGGTCCCATTTAGAGTAAAACAGACCATAAAGCAGGGTATGCTTTAGGGCGGGGCTACCTTGTGATTGACAGCTCATTCTCAGTGAGTCCGTCCAGCTCAACGCACCAAACTCAGATCAAACTGTCAAACAGTGCTGATCAGATATGGATCCAGATTCTGTGACTGTGTTGACTATTGACAGCCAATGCTACAGTGTGTTTTTAATCATTTTCTGACATTTTTAGACTAAATGTTTCATTGATTATTAAAATAATAAAACAGCAGAATAAGAAAAACAACAAAAAGGACTCAAGCTGATTATTTGCCTCTTTATGTGAACATGTAAGACGTCCACACACACACACACACACACTCTGTTTCTCTCGTGCAGATGGCCTCGAATTAATGTGCCAAACTGATCTAAACACAACGCAAAGAAAACCTTCGCACGGAGGAGCCTCGTGACGAGCGCCTGGCAGCCGAGGACCGCAGTATGGCGAGGTCAGCGTATGTGTTGCACAGACTCACGAGGTGTGAAAGTAGAAACAAACACCAGCCAAATGCTTGTTTGGCTACTCAACTAGACATCACGCCATCACACCAATCAACTCTCATTTGGAGACTTTATTTTGCTCTAAAAATATAGCTGGCTGTCAGCAGAGGAGGGTTTTATGTCTTCTACACATACAGACATTTTAAAACCAGACAATCTGCTCGGAAACTGATAAAATCCTGTTTTTATTGAACTTTATACAAAATATTAAGACGTATCCAAACTAGTTAAAAATCCCTTTAAAATCCCTCTTTCAACAGATAACTGTAGAACACTGTTGTAATCCGTGTTGGCACTGAACTCTTCTTTGTATTAATGTTCAGTTGTGGTAATAAACAAGTTTTATATTAATATTTGTTCATGTTTATTGATCACAGGGGCGTTTCCAGAGGGGGGGTCCTGCAGTGATACTGGTCTTTCAGAGGCTGCAGCGAGCTCTGTTTTAAAACTAGAGTGAAGATATTGATTTTATATGAAACTAGAAGACCTGACGCATCCATCGGTACCAACCACGTCCTGCTTGCATGTTGACAGAGAGGCTAAATAACGCTAATACTTTTTTTAAACTGGCAATTTTTAAAGTAATCTGTTGACCTCTGACCTCAAGATATCTGAATTTGATCTCATGTTAAAATATTATATATATATATATTATAATATTATATATATATTATAATATTATATATATATATAATATATAATATTATAATATATATATATAATATATATTATAATATATTATAATATATATATAATATTATATTATAATATATATATTAATATTATAATATATTATAATATTATAATATATATATAATATTATATATATATTATAATATTATATATTATAATATTATATATATATAATAATATTATAATATATATATATATTATAATATATTATAATATGATAATATTATAATATATTATATATATATTATAATATATATATATTATAATATATTATAATATATATATATATATATATATTATAATATTATATATATATTATAATATTATAATATATTATAATATATAATATATATATTATAATATATTATAATATTATATACATGTTATTATTAGGGAAAGGAAACTTTGTGTAATTGTTGATCTCAGACCTTTTTATTTTTGTTACCTGGTTTCTTTTAGCATCTTTTTACCAAATAATGGATAATTATATATTTATATTATTATAATTATTTATATATATTATTTATATTATTATTAATGATCAGGATAATTTAATTATTATATTAATAACAAATATATTTTGAATTGTTATGGAAAACGATTGATTGACTTTACGTTCTATAAAAGTTTTTTAATGAACTAAAATAATAAATGACCTGTTGTTTGTTTGTTTGTTTGTTTGTTTGTTGTAAACAATAGTGATGTCAGTTAGATTTGATCAGAACAGTTATTGAATATTAAATCATCCATCTTTGATCTTTGATTGTTTTAAGTGTTTTAGTTTTTATTAAAGTTTTAAATCTTCAAACTGCGATAAGAACAAAGTAAAAAGATAATATAATATAATAATATAATTTATTTTACAGACAGTTTTCATGCATAATTAATATTATTATCAATATAATGCTTATAATTAATATAGTTATTGTTCAAAACTTAATGTTATTTATCTGAAGACGCTTTAAAATCCAAAATAAAAGTAAAATAATAAATAAATGAATAAAAGATGCTGCAGTTTTCAGAAATAAATTAGTCTTTTTGTTGTTTTATTTACGGTTATAAAACATTTTACTGTTTTAAATGACCTTTGAACTGTGATTAAACATTATTAAATTAAATTCATTAATTTAATCTCGTTTACACAGAATAACACCGTAAAGTGAGTCGGTGAATAACCGTCTGTAACTCACCGTTTCTGCCTCCTTAACGTCTCTTTTCTGAAGTGAAGAACAAACTAATAAATCCAACAAACAACCAACAACCGGCTCCCGGTTACCGGTTACCGGCGCTGTGTGTCCGCTGCTCGGTCTGACCGTCGGGAACCAAAGCGCTCTCATTTAAACCAACCGTCAACCGGAGCGCTTATATACGCACACTGCTTCCGGTCCGCGCTTTCAGAATAAAACTACACCAGGAACAGATCGACATATAAACTAGTGATTAAAGTAAAGTGAAAGTTTAAACATTAAAAAACATTAATTTACTATCAGTATAAAGAGATTTACATGAACTTATACTTAAAATACTATAATATATATTTATATATATAATCATATGCAGCATTTCTCCAAACTTATTTAAAATGTGTTTAAAAGTATTTATCTGAATAAACTTAAAAGCATCTTGTTTTCTATGTCATCATTAAAGATTGATGATTTATAAACAGATACAAACAAAGCACAGTGACGTTTAAATGTCTGTGACGATGTAAAGTATTAACAGTATTTAAAACACTGCAGACATTAAATTATTATTTAAACAGTTTATTTTTGAGTTATCTTTAATTAATGGGATTGAGTATCGAGTTTAGTTTTATTAAGGTTTGCTGTTGCAGTGCAGATGTTCAGGAGTAATAATGCTGAGTGGCTCCAGAGTGAATCTGATAAATCACCAGCTGAGACTGAAGAATGAACTTTAATTATATGTTTTTAAAGCGTTTTATTGTTCGTGATGCCGCTGGTACGAGTGGTATTCAGTGTGTGTCTCGAACTGTCGAGCTTCAACCTCATCGACCTTTAGATGAGCTGTTCTAAATGTTTAATGTGAAATAGTTGCTCAGCATTTTCACCTGTTTGCCTTAAACCAACCTCTTCTTTTTAAATAATATATTAAAACTACACAGTAACCTCTGAAGAACTCCCTTCTCATCTCATCTGATCATGAATTTGCACTCCGCTCAGAAAGATATGCTAATGTGCAGCAGATAAACGCAGGAAGCCGTCACTCACTCGCCGCGTGAAACAACTGAAGAATATAAAACGAGGGCAGAGATGAAAAAGGACGACACGTCGAGCTCTGTGTTTTCCCCGACGCTGGTTTCGCTCTAATTGACGGCTGCAGATGTGGTTGATGGGTCAGTGCAGCCATGATGCCTCCGGGCAAGGTGACCTCCTCCTGCTTCATCATTAAACGCTTCCATGAAGCCGCTACACTAAAGGTTATTTTTAGTTTCAGTTCAATCTTCTCATCTGACAACAAAAGTGGATCAACGCTGCGAGCGGCGAGGGGGCGGGCCCGAGCAGAAGGCGGCGCCATGAGTATGACTGAATAATAGCATGTAGGTGGGTTCAGGTTGTGTTTCTTGGCCAAACCTTGAGAGCTTTAGATAAACAGTAACCATCTTTAGTCAGTCTGATCAATCCGGGTAAAGCAGAGCCTGGAAACTAAAGCTAAAGTTGAAAGTTAAATTCAAACTGGCCGACTTCCTGCTCGGGTTTAGGATCCGGATCTAAGAGGGTTTTTTGTAGATCTTGACAGGATACATGTGCCCACCAATTTTTGTGTGTGTACATTAAATGTGTTGTCGGGGATTCTTTGTTGAAATGCCGTATAGTTACAAAAAGGCTTGTTTTATGGGAAAACGTTGATTTTTGCCACCACGCCACGGACACGCCGTTTGACGAAATGTTGAGATTTTGAAAACTTTTAATCGTGAACTTCTTTAGAGTGTACTTACCAACTTTCAAGTTGAACCGATCAACTCTCTAGAAGCAGGTCGCTGCTCAGGCTCTAATGAAGGTATTCACCAACCGGCATCGTGACTGAACTGAAGTAACAAACCTGCAGTTCCTCTAACGACCACCAGAGGCTCCAGCAGTGAGTCTCCATAAGGCCCCATATTAAACTGCAGAATAAACACGTTTACAACCTCTCGAAAGCTAATTTCCCCCATTCATGACAACTTTTCGATGATGACAATGACAATGATATTAAAGCTTAATTTTGTAGTTTTGTCTACTGTTGTTTTATATATTAACAAATATATACGAATATATACAGTAAAGGACAATCAAAAGTGTCTTCCCATTTTTTAACGGGAGGACACTTGAACAACTTGCTTTTGGCATTTTTTCTGGTTTTAAGGCTCATTACTGTCTTTTTATGCTAATTTTAAGAATTCAAGCCCAATTAAACCGTTTCGCTCCTCTGGCTGGTGATATTTTTGCTTAATTCAAGAAAATTTGATTATATTTAGTAATATTTGGTTTGTTTTTTCAGAATAGTCTTTGACTTAAACATAAATCAGACTTGATATTAATATATCAAATATAAAAACATGGTACAAGACGCAAAGAAACAAATATTCAGCAAACATTTTACACTGTAAAACTATATAAGTTTAATTTGACTCAAATCATTGTTGAATTAAAACTAACTTAATTTTATAAGTTAAAAACATTGTCGATTAAGCAGATTTAGTAAATTTAAGTGACGCTGACTTAATGTTATAATTTTTATCTCAACTTACAATAAACTGAGTTTGTGTTACTTAAAATCTTCAATGTGATCCGTTTCAACAACTTGAGTTAAAATAACAACACGGCGTTAAAATCAGATAAAAAGTTTAAAAAATGGTTGAAATCGATTACATCGAACATTTTACTTACTTAACTTAATTTTCTAAGTTAAAAACATTCATAATAACATATCTTTAGTCACTGTAAGTGACGCTAACCTCATTCTGTAGTTTTTATTTGTACTATAAAAACAAAAAGCATTTAATCAGGAAAGTTTTAAAAACTTATTTTGTGTTTCAACATATTTCTGAGTTAAAATAACTCCTCGTATTGTGTTCTACACATATTAATAATACTCTTCCATTGCTTTCTGTAACACACCAACTGGTTCATTCTGATAAAAACACCAATTTCCAACAGCTTCTTTGTGTGAAGAGGTTTAAAAGGACACATCCCACACAGCTCGGTGTAATTGCACTGAAGCATCGTGAACAGTGCACCTCTGTTCCCTCCGCTGACAGAAGAGCACCATCTGGCAGAATATGTCGAGGACACCAGGGAGCTGCAGTCTGTTCAGCACAATCAGGAAACAACGATGAAGACGAGTGAAAACCCCTCCACCTTCTCCATGGGTGGTCCACATGTCTGGTTCTGAGGAGCTTCTCTCCTCACCTCGTCCACAAACACAGATTAACTGTTTTTGTTTTCTGCTCGCAGAGAAAAGGGAACATGCAGCGGTTCGGAGGCCGCGAGGGTGATTTTTAAATAATGCAGCAGACTTCCCGGTTTCACAGCGGGCGAGAAAGCCGGTCGCAGTGGGGAAACTATAACACATCACTAGGATTTATCTCAGCTCTTAACGATTGTGTTTGCTCTGGCAGCAGAAAGGCTTCTGGACGGAAACTTCAGGTTGTTATACAGCAAAATACTTAATAAAGGAAAAAAAGATAGACGATACATGAATATTAGTTAAATGTTTTTCAACCATGACTCTAAACTCAAACATGATGATGTCTGGTTCATAAATCAGATATCCAGTGAAGCTGAAACAAACCAGGCAGAAAAAGTTAGAAATTATTATAAAAAAAAGGTAAAGAAACACAAACAGGTAGGAGTGTAAAGATTTTGGATCGATCTAAATGAACCAGCCGAAGGTATGATTCCTTCTGTGAGGAAAAAACGAAACCCTGTTAACCTAAATACATTTATTTAGTCTCACTTATAAACTATTTAATAAACATTGTTTAACTGAATCAAAAAGGCTGCTTTACCTGTTCGAGAACATGTGACGTGATGCAGAAACAGCAGTAAAAACAGTCGGGAAACATTCATTCATGCACAAATGTGTATATTTCTGATCTTACAGAAACATACACAGAGAGACTGTAAACGTGGAGAAGAGTCTGTTTCCTGCGGCGTCAAGGTCATAAAAACATACGGTTAACACAGAGAGACACATGGTGTGGACAAACCGAGCAGCTGTTTCTGTTTAGAGAACAGAAATGTCAGACAGATAAAAAACATTTCAGCCAAAGAAAGTCAAACAGAAAAAAAACTCCCTGAATACAAATGATGTTTTTTTTCCTCTGATTTCACCACCTGAAACACCGGCTGACATCCAGCGTGACAGCTTGTCTGTCTCACATCACCCGTCGGTGACTGCGGTGAAATTGAGATTCTTGCTGTGTCTCGTCCTCTGAAGGAACATTTTTTTGTTGCCGTCCTCTTGGAGCAGCGGGTTGAGTCGGTGCGTGCTCTGTCGCTGTCCATTACCTCAGCGTGTTCCCCTGTCACATGTGATGGGCACAGCGATCCCCGCTGCAGGTGCCTGATGTATGAACCCTGACAGGCCTCCGGAGGAGCTGCAAGAAGCATGAAGGACTCTGGGTAAAAAGGAAAAGGTTGCCCACTGGGGGATTCGGGCAGGCGGGGGGTAGATTTGTGTCTGTGCCAGCTGTTGTGATTGAAAGAGGAAACGCGGTGTTCATTTAAAGTCGTAGAAAAACAGATTTGATGGCGTTTGGAGTCTTGAGTCTGCAGAAAGGAACTCAAAAGACTAATGAGAGAGAGACGGAGCATCATGATCACGATTCTGCACATTTATAACCTCAATCGAATCCGAGACCTGTAAAGGACGCGGACTTTAGGGGGCGGGGCCTCGACAGCGGCTGCAGTGATTGAGTCACTAGAAGCACATTCACGTGTTTGTAAAAGTTTCTGTGTTGTAGCCGACTGTGAATCTATCGTGACCCGTCAGTCTGTGGAGTCCTGTTTTGTCGCCATGATGGTTTGTCGGAGCTGGCGGAGGTCACGTACTGCGAGTTGAGCTGCTCTCATTGACTGTCAATAGTCAGAATCTGGATCCAGATCTGATCAGCACTGTTTGACAGTTTGATCTGAGTTTGGTGCGTTGAGCTGGACGGACTCACTGAGAATGAGCTGTCAATCACAAGGTAGCCCCGCCCTAAAGCATACCCTGCTTTATGGTCTGTTTTACTCTAAATGGGACCATCAGTTACTAAATGAACATCATGCTGTATGGAAGAAGACTGAAACTAGAGACTGAGACCAGAAACACATCAGGAAACTGTTTAC